GGGAAATATGGCGGGAATTCTGGGAAAAACAGCGGGAATTCTGGGGAAAATGGTGGGAATTCTGGGAAAAACGGTGGGAATTCTGGGAAAAATGGCGGGAATTCTGGGAAAAATGGGGAATTCTGGGAAATATGGCGGGAATTCTGGGAAAAATGGCGGGAATTCTGGGAAAAATGGGGAATTCTGGGAAATATGGCGGGAATTCTGGGAAAAATGGGGAATTCTGGGAAATATGGTGGGAATTCTGGGAAATATGGCGGGAATTCCCGGGAAAATGGTGGGAATTCTGGGAAAAACAGGGAATTCTGGGAAAAATGGTGGGAATTCTGGGAAAAATGGCAGGAATTCTGGGGGAAAAAAAAATGGGAATTCTGGGGGGAAAAAGAGCAGGAATTTGGGGGAAAAACCAGCGAGAATTCCTGGAAAAACAACGGGAATTCTGGGAAAAATGGCGGGAATTCCGGGGAGGAAAAATGGGAGTTCAGGGAAGAAAACAGTGGGAATTCTGAGGAAAAAAGAGCGGGAATTTGTGGAGGAAAAAAAATGGGAATTCTGGGGGAAAACAACCGGAATTCTGGGAGAAAAAACCTGGGAATTTTGGGGTGAAAAATAACGGGAATTCCGGGAAAAACGGCGGGAATTCTGGGAAAAATGGTGGGAATTCTGGGGGGAAAAACCTGGGAATTCTGGGGGGAAAAACCTGGGAATTCTGGGGGGAAAAACCTGGGGGTAAAAGAGCGGGAATTTGGGGGAAAAAACGGCGGGAATTCCCAGAAAAACAATGGGAATTCTGGGAAAAAAAAAAGGGAATTCTGGAGGGAAACAATGGGAATTCCAGGGCAAAAAAGAGCGGGAATTTGGGGGAAAAAGGGAAAAAAGGACTAAAAAATGGGAAAGAAAAAGGAATAAAAAGGTAAAAGAACGGGGAAAAAAAGAACAAAAAAAGGGAAAAAAATGGGGAAAAAATGAGAAAAAAAGGGGAAAAAATTAGAAAAAAAATGGGGAAAAAATGGGAAAAAAGGGGGAAAAAATGAGGAAAAAAATGGGAAAAAATGGAAAAAAATAGGGGAAAAAATGGGGGGAAAAATGGGAAAAAATCAGGGAAAAAATGGGAATAGAAATGGGAATTAAAAGGGAAAAAAGAAGGGAAAAAAATGGGAAAAAATTAGAAAAAAAATGGGGGAAAACATGGGAAAAAATGGGAAAAAATGGGGAAAAAAGGGGGGAAAAAGGGAAAAAATGGGGAAAAAATGGGGAAAAAATAGAAAAAAATGGGAAAAAAATAAGGAAAAAAGGGGAAAATGGGGAAAAATGGGGAAAAAATGGAAAAAATAGGGAAAAAATGGGGGAAAATGGGGAAAAAATGGGAAAAAAATAGAAAAAAAATGGGGAAAAAAATGGGAAAAAAATAGGGAAAAAAGGGGGAAAAATGGGGAAAAATGGGGAAAAAAATGGGGAAAAAATGAGGAAAAATGGGAAAAAAATGAGGAAAAAATGGGGAAAAAATGGGAAAAAAATAGGGAAAAAATGGAAAAAAATGGGAAAAAATCTGGGAAAAAACAGGAAAAAAGTGGAAAAGTGGGGAAAAGGCTGGAAAATGCAGAATTCCCAAGAAATTCCATGTTTTTTCCCGCAGGTTCGCCAAGCTGCTGCTGCGGCTGAGGCTCCATTGGCCTGAGGGGGGAATGGAAAGGGGGAAAAATGGGAATAAAAATGGGAATTAAAAGGGAAAAAAGAAGAGGAAAAAAGGACAAAAATTGGGGAAAAAAGAGGGAAAAAAAAGGAAAAAATGAGGAAAAAATGGGAAAAAATGAGGGAAAAAGCATGAAAAAAATGGGAAAAAAATGAGGGAAAAATGGGGAAAAAATGAGGGAAAAATGGGAAAAAAATGGGGAAAATTGAGGAAAAAATGAGGAAAAAATCAGAAAAAAGTGGGAAAAAAAGAGGAAAAATGGGGAAAAATGGAAAAAATGGGAAAAAAATGAGGAAAAATTGGGGAAAAAATGGGAAAAAAGAGGAAAAAATGGGGAAAAAAAGGGAAAAAATGGGGAAAAAATGAGGAAAAATGGGAAAAAAAATGAGGAAAAAATGGGAAAAAAATAGGGGAAAAAATAGGGAAAAAATGGAAAAAAATGGGAAAAAATCTGGGAAAAAACAGGAAAAAAGTGGAAAAGTGGGGAAAAGGCTGGAAAATGCAGAATTCCCAAGAAATTCCATGTTTTTTCCCGCAGGTTTGCCAAGCTGCTGCTGCGGCTGCCGGCGCTGCGCTCCATCGGCCTCAAGTGCCTGGAGCATCTTTTCTTCTTCAAACTCATCGGGGACACCCCCATCGACACCTTCCTCATGGAGATGCTCGAGGCTCCCCACCAGCTCTCCTGAATTCCCAAATTCCCCCACCCTTTCCCGCTTTTTTTTTAGGAATTTTTTTTCCTTTTCCTTTCCCCGAAAAAATCCCGATTTTTTGCGCTTTTTTTTGGCATTTTTGGCTCCGTTTTTCCTTCCCCTCGTTGCTCCCTATGGGTGCTCAAGGGGGTGAAATTTGGGAAAATCCCCTCAAAAATAACCTGGAATGAATTCCCAACTTTTCCCCGATTTTTCCCATTTTTTCCCCATTTTTCCCGATTTTTCCCAATTTTTTCCTGATTTTTTTTGCTCTTTTTTTGGCGTTTTTGGCTCCGTTTCTCCTTCCCTCGTTGCTCCCTATGGGTGCTCAAGGGGGGGAAATTTGGGAAAATCTCCTCAAAAATAACCTGGAATGAATTCCCAACTTTTCCCTTGGAATGAATTCCCAACTTTTCCCTGATTTTTCCCAATTTTTCCCAATTTTTCCCATTTTTTTCCCCATTTTTTTCCCCATTTTTTTGGCGTTTTTGACTCCGTTTTTCCTTCCCCTTCGTTGCTCCCTATGGGTGCTCAAGGGGGGGAAATTTGGGAAAATCCCCTCAAAAATAACCTGGAATGAATTCCCCAACTTTTCCCCGATTTTTCCCAATTTTTCCCCAATTTTTCCCAGATTTTTCCTATTTTTTCCCGATTTTTTTCGCTTTTTTTTTGGCGTTTTTGACTCCGTTTTTCCTTCCCCTCGTTGCTCCCTATGGGTGCTCAAGGGGGGGAAATTTGGGAAAATCTCCTCAAAAATAACCTGGAATGAATTCCCAACTTTTCCCTCATTTTTCCCAATTTTTCCCAATTTTTCCCATTTTTTTCCCCATTTTTTCCCCATTTTTCTGGCGTTTTTGGCTCCGTTTTTCCTTCCCCTCGTTGCTCCCTATGGGTGCTCAAGGGGGTGAAATTTGGGAAAATCTCCTCAAAAATAACCTGGAATGAATTCCCAACTTTTCCCCAATTTTTCCCAATTTTTCCCTATTTTTTCCCAATTTTTCCCAATTTTTCCCGATTTTTTTTGCTTTTTTTTTGGCGTTTTTGGCTCCGTTTTTCCTTCCCTTCGTTGCTCCCTATGGGTGCTCAAGGGGGTGAAATTTGGGAAAATCTCCTCAAAAATAACCTGGAATGAATTCCCAACTTTTCCCCAATTTTTCCCATTTTTTCCCAATTTTTTCCCCATTTTTTCCCCATTTTTTTCTCCTTTTTTCCCCATTTTTTCCCAATTTTCCCCCAATTTTTCCCGAATTTTTTTCCCAATTTTTTTCTCATTTTTCCCCATTTTTTCCCTATTTTTTCCCCAATTTCTCCCCAAATTTTTCCCAATTTTTCCCAATTTTTCCCAATTTTTTTCGCTTTTTTTTTGGCGTTTTTGGCTCCGTTTCTCCTTCCCTTCGTTGCTCCCTATGGGTGCTCAAGGGGGTAAAATTTGGGAAAATCTCCTCAAAAATAACCTGGAATGAATTCCCAACTTTTCCCCGATTTTTCCCATTTTTTCCCAATTTTTCCCATTTTTTCCCAATTTTTCCCATTTTTTTCCCATTTTTTTTCGCTTTTTTTTTGGCGTTTTCGGCTCCGTTTTTCCTTCCCTTCGTTGCTCCCTATGGGTGCTCAAGGGGGGGAAATTTGGGAAAATCTCCTCAAAAATAACCTGGAATGAATTCCCAACTTTTCCCCAATTTTTCCCAATTTTTCCCTATTTTTTCCCAATTTTTCCCAATTTTTCCCGATTTTTTTCCCCAATTTTTTTTGGCGTTTTTGGCTCCGTTTTTCCTTCCCTTCGTTGCTCCCTATGGGTGCTCAAGGGGGTGAAATTTGGGAAAATCTCCCCAAAAATAACCTGGAATGAATTCCCAACTTTTCCCCGATTTTTCCCATTTTTTCCCGATTTTTCCCAATTTTTCCCGATTTTTTTCGCTTTTTTTTTTGCATTTTTGGCTCCGTTTTTCCTTCCCTTCGTTGCTCCCTATGGGTGCTCAAGGGGGTGAAATTTGGGAAAATCTCCCCAAAAATAACCTGGAATGAATTCCCAACTTTTCCCCGATTTTTCCCATTTTTTCCCCAATTTTTCCCAATTTTTCCCCAGTTTTTCCCAATTTTTTCCCAATTTTTTCCCCATTTTTTCCCCATTTTTTTCTCCTTTTTTCCCCATTTTTTCCCAATTTTTCCCCAATTTTTCCAGATTTTTTTCCCAATTTTTTCCTCATTTTTCCAGGTTTTTTTTCCCAATTTCCCCCCATTTTTCCCAATTTTTTTCTCATTTTTCCCCATTTTTTCCCCATTTTTTTCCCCAATTTCTCCCCAAATTTTTCCCAATTTTTCCTTTTTTCCCAATTTTTTTCCCCATTTTTCCCCCAGTTTTTTTCCCAATCCTCCTCCACATTTTTCCCAATTTTTCCCAAGTTTTTACTCATTTTCCCAGTTTTTCCCCAATTTTCCTCCATATTTTCCCAATTTCCCCCGAATTTTTTTCCCATTTCGTCCCCAGTTTTTCCCATTTTTTTTCCCCAATTTTCCTCATTTTTTCCCATTTCTTCCCCAATTTTCCCAGAATTTTTTCCCCATTTTTTTTACCATTTTTTCCCAATTTTTTCCCCATTTTTTCCCCATTTTTTCCCCATTTTTTCCCAGTTTTTTCCCAGTTTTTCCCAATTTTTTCCCATTTTTTCCCAAATTTTTCCCAATTTTTTTTCTCAGTTTTTCCCAATTTTTTCAGATTTTTTTCCCATTTTTTTTTGCGGGATTTTCCCATTTTTTCCCCATTTTTTCCCAATTTTACCCAAATTTTTCCCAATTTTCTTTCTCAGTTATTCCAAATTTTTTCAGATTTTTTTCCCTTTTTTTTTTGCGGGATTTTCCCAATTTTTCCCCCAATTTTTCCTTTATTTTTCCTTTATTTTTCCCCAATTTTCCCCAACTTTTTCCTCAATATTTCCCAATTTTTTCAGATTTTTTTCCCATTTTTTTGCCAGATTTTCCCAATTTTTTTTCCATTTGTCCCAAATTTTTCCCCTTTTTTTTTGCAGGATTTTCCCAAATTTTTTCCCAATTTTCCCCTTTTTCCCCCCAATTTTTTCCCCCATTTTTTTCCCAATTTTTCCCCATTTTTCCCAATTTTCCCATTTTTTTCCCCATTTTCCCTCCCCATTTTTGCTCCCTGTGGGTGCTCAGGGTGGGAAATTTGGGAAAACCCCTCCCCCCCTCC